TGTATGCTGTGCATGCCCTGTCTCAGCGGTGCAAACTGCACCGCAAACGCCACTTGAGCTCTTGGGAAAAGAGGAAAAAGCTTGAGGCAAGTTTCGGAGAAGTAGGAGTGCGCAATGTAGTTCAAGATGCGGCGGCGGTCCGAATCCTTGGAGGCCTCTGCCTTGCAGGTCTCGAGGACTCGGAGAGCCTGGTCGGAGGTTGCTTGGCGACGGTGCCGAAAGAATCCTATGCTTTTGCAACCGCACTTCATGATTCATGGCGACGGTGAGGAGACAACCCAATGTCTCCGAGCCCACACAACTATGCAGCAGAGCTGCCTCGAGCACAGGTCCAGAGGTCACGCGCCGCGAGCCCACTAAGCCAGCCTTGGCTCAGGCAGCTCTTTTCATGCATGTCCGGCACCCCTTCTGACTTCCGGCTTTCCGAGTGCAAGCTCAAAGCATCGCACAAGAGAGAATGTGAAGGCGTGTTTCAAGTCTGTCGGCTTCTGCATGCAGGGCACTGGTGTGCAAAGCAGAAGCGGCTTCTGCCCATCAAAGAGGTCCGTCGTCAGCTTCCCACGTTCCTCTTAAAACACGGCCGCAACTCCTCCGGTCCCCTCTCAAGCAGAGGAAACCCAAACTCGCCTGGATGAGGCGCTGCTCGACCTCTGCCCAGGTCACCTGAGAAAAGGCAGCGCTCAGATGCGCTCGTTCTTTCGCTCGGCCCGGGCCCCTTCTTCGCACCTCCCTGGCCGGGACTCCTCGGGTCTCCGCGAGCTCTTCGCGGAGACGCCAGCGCAAGCGCGCCTCTGCAAGGCCCAAGACGAAGCCTCGGCATCCCTCGGCCGGGGCCCCGCCTGCTCCGTGTCCGTGGTGACCGCCAGCTCGAAAGTGCACCAGGACCTGACTCTGGAAAATCTGGGTTCTTGCAATACACAAAACTCTCAGAGCACATCTTCCAACTTTTTGAAAAAGCCGTTGCTGAGCGCCTGCTGAGGCTGTCCGCGGCAAAATCCAGGAATAAGGCGGTCTCCTGAACTGCAACGCTGAAACCCAGCGGATGGACCCCAGCAAACCCCTGAAGGTCCCGGTCCTTGGCCTCCCCAAATCCTCGGAAGAATGGGGAACTGAGAAGCCGCGTCCCGAGCACCACCTGCAAGGCCCAGCATATTGAGTTTCTGGGGCTCCGAGGGCTGAAGTTGCGGCTGGTGGTTGGTGTATATCTATAGACTATATGACTATATGCTGTCAATATGCCACCACCTGCCTCAAACTGATTGTTGGCAAAGGTGCAAATCCAAACAGCGTGTCTCACCTGAATGAATCGCGAAAGAATTCCAGGCACGCGATGCATCGTGTAACGAGATGTCAGGCGGCTGTCAGGCCCCGCTCCATTTCGAGGTTGAACACCGTCGACATGAAATCCCGAAAAAACTCCTGAACAGCGTTGCTCAAACGGAGCACTGACCTGCGAAAACAAGCTGGACAGGAGCTGCGAAGAGGTTGGACAAAACGGTGTCCTTCCAGGAATGGGAGATGAAAG